AGTGAGCCAGCGGGGCGCGGGCGCTGCAGGTAGGGGTGCACGGGTTGGGCTCAGGTGTGGCGGACCGGGGCCACGCAGCACGGGAACGCGGGGCGCCCTCCTCCGCCCGCCCCGTCTTCGCCCACGCGCCGGTCCCCTTTTAGGGAATTCTTTGCCTCTTGCCTCCTCGGGCGCGGGTGGGGCTGGGGCAGAGGGCGTTCTCCATTTTCCTGGCTCCTGCCTGGGTCTCAGCAGCCCGTCTCCAAATCTCCACTCTTCCCAGTACCTATGGTCGCGTAAACAACTACCTAGCACCAGGTCTCAGCTCCGCGGCCCCTGGTGGGCAATCTCTTCAACCGGGTAAGACCACACAGCGTTGGGGGGGGGGGGGGCGAGGAGAGGCATCCGGGTGGCCCCGGTCCGCGGCAGCTCCTCCCGCCCCCGCAGCTCCGCAGACCGCCCCTGGGGCCCTGGGTATTTTTAGCGTTGTGACCTGGGCGGCAGCTCTAAGCGTCTTTCTCTGGAGTCCGCGTCAGCGTCTCCCTTCTCCATGGCCAGTCGGCGGCCACAACAGCTCCCGCACTTTCTTGCCCCTGCCTGACTCTTCAGTTTTGGGTCCCTTGTGAGCTACCCCAGTGCTTGAAGAACTGGCCAAGAGCTGGGATGCACGGTGCCCAGATGAGGTTTTTGGAGGATGACAGTTTGGTTCTCACCCTAGAAATTTCCCTGCTCCTGGTAATGGGTTCAGAGCAGTGTACCAGGAATGAGAATGAATGCACAGGGCTCTGGTGTTCGGAGAAATTCGACACTGGGAACATAGAGGCCTGGTCTGAACAGTACCCAGGCTCCACCCTTCTAATTGGTACTTGCTAGCAGGGGAGGTAAGCCACACAGATGTGTAAGAGGAGGGGGACAAGTCTTAGAGTTCAGAGGAAAGGTGGCCAGTTCTCTAGACTGCTCTCCTTCACAGTGTTGTCGTGTAGTGCTCAAATAGGTAGGGCAATGCCTTCAGGTGGAAGCCTGGGGCCAGAAAGATGTTTTTTAGGGGCAGAGGCAAGTCAGGGAGTTAGGTCTTTGACTTCAGAGAAAGGATTTGGACATGATGAGGATCCTGGTGATGGTGTGTGTGGAGAGAAAGAGAAGTGTGGGGGAGGAACGTTTCTAGAGTCTTTCTTTGGGATTTGAAGGGGTGGGAAGAACCAGAGCTGCAGCAACCTGTACTTTCCCATCTCACCCGGTTCTTCCCTGGCTTTCTGAGGGGAACTGGATCCATGAAATGGCCAGCCCCTCCCAGCCTCTCAGAAGGGCTTTATAGGCAGTTGGACAGCCATTGGCAGCCTTGATTAGCAGCAGGCTCTTGCAGTGCCTGGAACTGACATCCCCTTTGTGGAACCAGGACCGGCCCTTTCTCTATAGAGTCTTGAAGTCTGTGGGATGAGTTTTGCCTCACAGAAGGGAAAGAGGCTGCCAAGGCCAGAGTTGTCCAGACTGGAAGCAGAGGCCGGGATGCTGGCTGCCGTGGGGCTCCTTAAGTTTAGGTACCCACTTTTTTCTCTCTCATCCCCACAACTGTTTTACTCCTTTACTCCCCAGGGGCTGACATGGACTCAAATCCACGAGCGGCCTTGGAACGCCAGCAGCTGCGTCTCAGGGAGCGGCAGAAATTCTTCGAAGACATTTTGCAGCCAGAGACAGAGTTTGTTTTCCCCCTGTCCCATCTGCATCTCGAGTCCCAAAGACGTGAGTTTCAAGTCCTGAGGAATAGAATTAGGGTGGGATGGTGAAGATGACCCTATGGCTCTCAGATCTTCGGGGCCATCTCCCTTCCTGCTTTTGTGACCCAGTAAACTCTGAAATGGAGATCTTGCAGGCATGTCTGACTGTCCTCTCAGCTTCAGCCTGATCTGCCTGCCCTCTGCCCTCTCATCTGCAGCCCCCATAGGTAGCATCTCGTCCATGGAAGTGAATGTGGACACACTGGAGCAGGTGGAATTTATTGACCTTGCTGATCAGGATGGAGCAGATGTGTTTTTGCCTTGTGAGGACTCTCCACCAACCCCCCAGATGTCTGGTAGGCCTCTCTGCTTAGGGATCTACGGACCAGATAGCCAGAAATGAGGGTGCAAGTCTGAGCTGGGGGGCGAATCTTAAGTAGAAGTTGGAAATGTGTGTCCCTGCTAGAGAAACAACTGGCTGTTCTGATTTAGGGAAGTTGACTCAGGGGGAACTGGTCTAGGAATAGCTGACTACTTCAGCATTCAGATTTTTATATTTGTGAAATTCATGAAATTACCGTAGTTAAAATGTAAAACATAATGATCATGTTAGACAACCTAAGCAATTTTAGTCATAATACTAAATTTTACCAGTTTCCTGGGTTCTTAATAATGTGCTAAAGTACTTCACGTATTTTTTCTTGGTCCTTACAACATTCTATGAGGACAGGGGGTAGACTCTTCATTTCATAAAGAAGGAAATTAGAAGCTGGGCAGTGGTGGTGCACACCCTTTATCTCAGCAGTAGGAGACAGAGGCAGGTAGATCTCTGAGTTCATGGCCAGCCTGGTCTACACAGTGAGTTCCAGGACAGCCAGGGCTACACAGAGACCCTGTCTCAAAATTAGAGGCTAGGGATCTATATACAGTATGCTTGCCTGGCAGGTGCAAGGTCCTGAGTTTGATTCTAGCACCAAAAAAGAAAAAACAAAAGAAAATTAGTCTCAGAAAAGTTCAATCACCTAGGCAGAAAACGGAAACGCTGGTATTCAAACCCTGTCTCTGGCTCCAAGCCCTAGAACATGCTCCTGAGACTCATAGCTCCCTCTCGTCACAAGTTCAGAAACAGAGGAGGATGATTGTGAGCTTGAGACCAGCTGCAGAACAAGACTCTGTCTGAAAGAAACAAATTGGCCTCAGATGCTTGATATGCATTCTTAAGGTTTTACCCTAAAAACTTAGAAATGGAGGTGTCCTTCTCACAGCAAGGACGGAGTCTTTCCTTGGTAGGGAAAGTGACTTGCCTGCATCTGCTCAGGACACAGTGAGGCAGAGCCTGAGCTCTTGGGTTGACTCCAGCACATAAGATAGTAGTGGTGTGGAAGGGGCTGGCAGTCCTAATCCTGGCCCCTTCCTGACTCTGGACAGGTGCCCACCCTTCTCTCCGCTTCGGTTTCCCTGGCCAGATACATCCCTGAGTTCTCTAAAGCCCTGTGTGTGGCCCTGACCAGCTCTTCTCTCTGGGTAGGAGTGGACAGCCATCCAGAGGAGCTGAGCCTGCCGGTACCCACGCCAGACAGGACTACATCCCGGACCTCCTCCTTGTCCTCTGACTCATCCAATTTGCGCAGTCCAAATCCAAGTGATGGGGGAGCAGACACCCCCTTGGCACAGTCAGATGAGGAGGATGGGGGTGATGGAGGGGCAGAGCCTGGACCCTGCAGCTAGCAATGGGCCTCTTGAAGACTGATCAATCTGGCTATTCTCCATGGAGAGGAGATCCCAGGCCCAGCAGAGCACTCTGGAGAAGACCTGACCCTTTACTTGCCGTCAGCACCAGAGGGGTAAAGGATGGTGGATGGTGTACCTGAGAATTAGCCTTCCCCTGCTTTCTGCTAACTTTCTCCTGCTGCAACCCTCCCACCAGTGTTTTTCTCCTGAGGTAGGACTTCTAAATGAGAAGCTGGAAGATGAGGTAGGACAAGATACCACTGCTTTCTTAGTATCCCTCCTGCCCCCAAATGACCTGTAGTCTTCCACTAGAGTCTCCTAAGTCGGTGTCTCTGAGGGGAAGGTCTGAGAAGTTCCACTTGGCACTCTGTGAGGTTATACTGCAGTAATCCTGCCTCTTTAAGTCCTTTTTGGAACAGGATATAGTATAAATAATAAACCATAAATAATAAACTATAATATACTGCTCATTTCACCTCATTCTTCATATTGCAAAGATACCAAACCTGCCATCCTTAACTAACTGGTGCCATATCTCCATCATTCATTTACTCCATTTAGTCAAGAAATACTTAAGACTTTAGTATCTCTGCAAGGCATTTGAAATAGAGTTCTGATGAGATGAAGCACTTTCCTGTTTTCACAGAGGTTACTGTCTGTGGTGGAGAAAACCAGGTAAATATAATTCATAGTATAGTAAGTAGTATGATCGAGTTCTCCTATGGTATCAGGAAACAAAACTGAAGGAATGATTTCTGAAGCAGAGATCTGAAGGACAGTTAGGAGTAGCCAAGGTGGGCAGAGGGAGAGGGATCTCATCTCGGGAGAAGCTGCAGCTTATAAACACTGAATGGAAAGGCCAAGCTGGGTGTGGGGGCTCCTCCATATAATTTCAGCAACAGAGGGGTGAGGCAGGAGTATCGGGTTCAGGAACAGCTTTGGTTTCATACATTATTTAGGCCAGTCTGGGTTTTGTGAGACCCTCAAAAAATAAAAAATAAAATTAAGCAAACAAAAAAAAAGGAGACTAAAGGGACCAAGTGTAAAGAGCTAAAAAGCATTTCGTTTGGATTAATTGTTGGATTTGAAAATATACAGGGAGAGGTAAACTTGACAGAGGTCAGATTGTGAAATGCTTCGAAGCCTGTATTAGGTTTCAGTTTGACAGCTAGTAAAAGAGCATGACTTAAGATACAAATTTATTTCCTCATACTAAAGAAGTCCAAAATACAGGGCTGTGGGGAAGCTCTATAGTAACTGAGCACCAAGCTACTTTTTGGGTTGTTTTCCTTAGCCATCCAAGGCACATGACGTCAGTTCTTGCCCATACCTTGTATTTAGGATGGCTGACAAAGCATCAGCCAGCATGGCTGTGAAAATAGCAGAAAACAAGAGGAAAAAATGGGGAGTGGGCACGAAGGACACAGCCTGGGGTCCATCTCACCTGGAAGCTGTGAGAAATGGTATCCACTTGGTTTCATTGCCCAGAATTTTTTAACAGAAAATGTTTCATTTTAGACATTTTATAGACACTTGACACAGCATTTTCTAGAAGAGGAAATTCTAGCTTTTGGAAAGACAGTAACCCTTTCAAATCACTGAATTGCCAGTGCATCGGATTCCAGTAGTACCCGACATCTCTGAGAAACACATCCAGCGGGGAGACATCCCTTTTTATAGGCCACGCTGCTGTCTTGACTGGTCAGGGTTTTGCTACTAAGGAGCCAAGAGGACAGCGGTCATTAGTGGTTTATGTGGTAAGAGGTCATCCTGTTAGAGTTTGGAGTTTATTGGGAATAACGAAGGATTAGAAGTGGCTGTGTTAAATCTCAGATGTGAGGAGACAGACCACCGACCCAAACCATCACAGCCAAATTAATTAAAGCAAGCTTTTTTATTTATGTACACAGACTGTCTTCCTCTATGAGGCAGGGTTCCAGAGATCAGTATTGGAAATGGGGAAGATAAGATTTTTATAGCTCAGAAGTAGGAGGTTTCCAAATAGGGGATTTGACAGGGGAACTAGGTGTGGTTACAGAAGCAGACCATAACAAGGTAATCATAGCAACAGGTGGTCATTGTGACCTTTCGAAACACAGGTAGGGTTGCAAATGGTCATTAACAACTTTTTTAACAAAGACATGATTGCCGTTTCCTGGAAAAGGCAGTATAGGTAGTCATTTGTAGTAGAGGTTACAGGTGGGGCATAGCCCAATTCTTGAGCAACAGGTTTAATCATAAACAGGAATGAATCTAATTTGTCTTTACTATAAGATGGCTTTCAAGCTTAAGATGGAGGTAAGCTAATTCATCAGTTGAACTTGCATGTTTAAAAAGGTAATTCTGACTGCAGTGTAGAGAATATGCTGGAGGAGGTAGGCTCTAGACAGACAAATAATAATCCAGCAATGTATGAAAGCAATAATGGTAGTCCAGTAGGCAGTGGTTACTTAGGCTGGAGCAGGGTGTAAACAAACTGATAATAACCGTTCCATAAATATTACATATTGGTATTTAGCAAGTGTAAACACAAATGCAGTATTGGCCAAAAAGGAAATAAAGAAAAAAGAAGTCGGTTCTGTCTGGGAGCTCAGTGTAATGGAGCCCAAGTGTAAATTTGCAGCTATGACGAGAGCTGCAAAGCCGCCAGCTTCTTCAGAGAGGTCACCAGGGAGTCTCCCTTGAGGAAGCGACATTGGCGCTGAGATCTGAATAACAAGTAGGAATAAGCTAGGGACGAAAGAAGGACGGAAGGCCCCTTGTGGCATACTGATTGGAAGGGATCAAGTGCCTGGAAACCAGATGATTGCATTCACCTAAAGAAGAGCTAGGAGCCAGGGTAGAAGTGATGGGGTAGAGCAAGGTGAAAGATTGAGAAGACTTCAGAAGCTAATCTGGAAACAGAGGACAAAGGTACCAACCAGCATTGTTTGTATCTCATCCTGTAGGTTTGGACTGAAGGTTGTAATAAATTTGTTTTAGATGTATTGAGTTTGTATTTTTGATATATCCAAGACAACATAAGCAGGCACCTGGATCGGTAAGTGTGGAATTGGGTAAAAGGATTAGAATGAAAAAATAAACATACAAATAAGAATTAATACATGGGTGGGAAGTGAAACCATAATGAGGACAGACTTGCCCAGGAAATGTTGTTTGAAAGAAACTTTAGGACCCAGCCTTAAGGCTCTCTAGTTCATTTCTCATAATAAGAAGTCGTTAGACTTCCTTTCCTTCACATATCACAACACTACCTGCAGGATTGATGACCTTTAGCCTAAATCCCAAAGCTCTTCAGGCTGGATGATACTTGGCTTACAGTTTTGTCCCCCGCCCCCCAGAAGCCATTATGTTGTCCGTAAGGATACTGAGAAGTTTGTGGCATCTCCAAGGAAGCTAGAGAATCCTTCAGCTTTCCCCTGTCTCTATTAACTTGTAGCATAAATATCTTCTGTCCAGAAGTCTCTGGGTCCAAGCTGAGACCATCTATTAAGTTGGGCTAGGGACCCCGCCTGAAGTTAAACCCTAAAATTTCTCTAAGTTGCCTATGACTTTGCTGTATATAGATAACAATCCTTGTCCATACCAACCTTCCTTGAACATAGCAAAGCTCCACCTCCTCTCTTGATAAGCCCATCCTGCCCTCTGAGCCCACCTAAGCGCATACAGGGCTTTTTGGGACCACCCCTCTTCAGGGTGAATGATGAGAAGCTGTACTTGCTTGGTTGCTATCAACATTCCAATAAATCTTTTAGTTCTCTAGACACACAATGCTAAGATTGTAGAGTTTGGAGCAAGAGCCTTCTTGGGGGAGGGATCTATAGCACTCTTGAGAAATAGAATTGTTTGTGAGTCTCTGGGAAATGTCCAGTTGAGTTAGTATGAGCCCAGCTCTGTCTGGAAAAGACTAGGGTCAGTGGGACCACGAGACCACTTCCTGGTTGGGACAATGACTTCTCCTTCTGCCAAACCACAGGGGTCTGGCCAGCCTTCAGAGGCTTCATCTACAGCTGACTGTTTCCTCAGGCTACACAGTCTCCTTGGAGACAACATGCTGATTTATAGCCAACTCCAAATTAAGGAGCCCAGAGTTCAGTCTTCCAAGCCACATTGTGGCTTCTTTCTATTGCAAGGCTTACTGGGTAGACATCCTGATAAACGCTGAAGAGGGAAGAATAAACTCATCTCTGCAAAACTTTGTGCTGTGGAGGAAATAGAAGGAATCACAAGTCAGGAGAGTCCCTGAAACCATAACCTGTAACAGTCCCCACGAGTGTGCAGAACCCTGCAAACGCGGTAACGTGAGGACAACAGTACTGTGGGATCATGTCAGACCATTCTCATAGACAACAATTGAGTATACCTACAATATGCTGGCATGGTACCAAGGTGAACAGAGCTCTTCAGGAACAGACAAGCTCCAGATAATGGAGGTAGGACATAGTGAAGGCCACACTCCAGCTGCATAGATGCTGAAGGCTTGCTGCAGGAGGAGGGGGTCTTCACAGGAGGTGGGTGGGCTTTGATGATGGGGACAATTTCAGGAGGAAACAGCATGAAATAACCTTGATGGCAGCTGCCTTTGTGAGAAAGTACTTGGGTGCTGGCAGTGTGGCCACTTTTCCTGGCTCCATCACTCGCTGTGAACTTAAATTATTTCAGTTTCCATACTTATCTTACATACATATCAGTCCTCAACTTACAGAGCTGTTTGAAGAGCATTGGCTATTAATATCGAACGTGTTAACAATGACCCTGAAAGGAGGTAGGTTTTTTAATTTTTTTTTTTTTTCTGACCTGGTGGCTGGCTCCATGGCGTCTGCCTCACTTCCCTTCTTCCCAGCATTCTATTCTGTTTACTCTGCCTACCTAATTTTCTGTCCTATCAAAGGGCCAAGGCAGTCTCTTTATTGACCAATGAAAATAACACAATAGACAGATAACCCTCCTCCATCATTTCCCCTTTTTCTGTTTAAACAAAAAAGAAAGGCTTTCATTTTAACATAGTAAAATTACATATAACAAAACAGTTATCAAGCAAGAATTACAGTCACAATATTTATAACTCTATCATAATAATGGAAAACTATAACTATGACTATCCATTCTTCAACTCCATCAAAGACTCCAGAAGGATATATTATCTAAGTAAACAAGAAGTAAGCAACTTCCAAAACTCTAGAAATGACAGAGACATCTCGCTGCCTGGACAGTCACCCAAAGTTCCTCTGTATCGTTGGGGCATCCATTTTCGGCCTTCAGGCCCATAATATCCAGCAGACATTTCCATGAAGCTGGAACTTTTAAAGACAGTTCAGTCACTATCTGCTGTGTCCTGCAGAATGTCTCACAGACTCTTTTATGAATCAGGAACCCCGAAAGATCATCTCACCTTTAGGCAAGTTTAGCAGTCCTCTCTCTGTGGGTTCTCTGTGTCCAGTTTATATAACAGTCCAGGC